GGAGTCGGGATATAAAGACAAGGGACCAGATTCACGAAGCAATTACGCAAGTACTTACGAACGTGTACATCTTTCCTCAATCTTTGACGGCTTGGTTTACATTTATTAAACAGTTTGCAAGCATGAAAACTACCCAATCAACTGTTGTCATTGTTATAAACAGCTTCCTGGTACTTCGGAGCTCATTAACTGTTTAATAATTGTAAACAAAGCCCCCAAATATTGAGAAAAGACGTACAGGTCCGTAAGTACTTGCGTAACTGCTTCGTGAATCTGGCTCAAGGAGCCGGGATACTAAAACTTGGAGCTGAGATACGCTTGTGTTGATATTTCCAAATAATACAAAAATACACATCAGTAGAAGACGAACACTAGACAACAATCATCATCCTTGATCAACAACAACTACAACTACAATCTGTATACATACTAGTGTATAATGCCAGTACCTCCTGCAAGGACACGAGAGAGACATTACCTCTTGCCAAGACGACTGCAACAATCCAGGGAGCGGGGAGTAATCTGCCAGCCACCAGGTTATGTGCCAAACTGCTGTCGTCGTGCATCTCTCCTCGCTTATATACTCCTCGTCGAAGAGCTTCTTGTTGTCGTTGATGCAGTTGCATGCCCACTTTTGGCTGAGGACACGAGTCAGCCCTGAATGGGATGTCTCAAGTGGGGTCTGGGGGCCAAGAAGGGAGGGAGGGGGGCGGGGGGTTGAAGGAGGAGGAGGAAAGAGTTGAATACGTAGGGTTATAGTGGGAAGGGAGAGAGGATGGATGGGTGGACGCGGTAGCGGGTCATGGAAGGGTGTGAAGTAAAGGGGGAATGGCGGGAAAGAATGTCTCTACTTATCCAGAGGGCTGGATAAGTAGAGACGTAGGAAGCAGGAGGGAGAAAGCAGAAGAAGATAGTTAGCATATGAATAGGAGCTATAGAGAATGGGAAGATAACTTGCGAAGAGAAGAAAGCAAGAAAAGGCGACCGAGAGAGCAAAAGTAATGTGGGTCTGATTTTCTTTTATTATGAACGTGTTTTAGAAGTAGCATTATAGACTACTTCTATAACCAATATAGGTTGTTACAGATTATAGGTCAAAGGGTAGCAAAGTTGCCCTAATATCCCCCAACTCTCAGGGGCGATGTGTCGCCCTTGGATTAGATCCTGGTGACGCAGCTGACTGTTGTGGGAGGCGCTAGAGGCGTTGTAACGCACGACCCGGACTTAAAAGATCCTCCAGAAGGCCTATAGGAAGAGGCATCCAGAGAGACATGGGGCAGAAAGCCCTCCAAAAACACGTAGAGAAACCTGCCTCAGGGAAGAGCTCTGACAGGAGTGTCCAGACAGAGTAAGGACAAGATCTTCCACAAGGTTGGGGAAAGTATAGTGAATGATAGATGGTATATATCATGAAGGATAGATGGCATATATCATGATTGGGTAGATGGTATATATCATTAAGAGTAGATGGTATATCATTAAGAGAAAAAACAATATTGGAGAGATGGTTAACTAAATAGAGACGTGTATTTGACTGACATGTACTGGAGGCAGTAATGGCGGAGTGGGCGTCGTGATAGTAGAGGTCGAGGGTCGTTATGAAGGGGTGGAGGCAGTTATGGATGGGTGTAGGTCGTCGTTCTGGTGGGTAGAAGGTCGGTATGGGGAGGCTCAGGTCGTTGTGGCTTGGTGTAGGTCGTCACGAGGAGGAGGAGGAGGTCGTCATGAAGGCCGTGGAAGTAAAACTGGACTGAGGTTGCCCAGTTATATGATAAGATAATTTAGGCCAAATATATAATCTCTCAGCTTGGTTATCTGATCACAATATAATACAATTCCATACAAATAAAATCAATAGAATTTTAACCTTTAAAAACATATAATAAAATTATAAAGCAGGACAAAGTGAAGATAGTATATAACGCTAATAGTTTTAGATGACAGAACAACAGTTATTATTATAAACATGCATGAACACACCAATAAAAGCTTTGTGGAGAAGTAATAGAAAGTTTTATTATCAGGAGTAACAATAACAATTAGAGGAAGGTAAACATCGAAGACGAAGGCTTCGTCATGTAGGAGGAGTCGTGTTCACGTATTTGGACTCTGTAGGAAGGGTCGCGTTCAGTCGCTTAAGTATTTACATTCAGGGAAATCTTAGGCGGGAAAAGGTCGGTGCCTATTGCTGCCAGGATCAGGATATATATATATATATATATATATATATATATATATATATATATATATATATATATATATATATATATATATATATATATATATATATATATATATATATATATATATATATATATATATATATATATATATATATATATATATATATATATATGTGTATATCACGAAAATAAACACGTGATTAAGAATGTGACAATGTCAGACCACGGAGGAAAAATGAAACAGGAAATTTCCTTAAGTACTTTCGTATATTAAAGTACCTTCTGAAGATGTATTTAATATACGAAAGTACTTAAGGAAATTTCCTGTTTCATTTTTCCTCCGTGGTCTGACATTGTCATATATATATATATATATATATATATATATATATATATATATATATATATATATATATAGGCTGCTGAGAAGGATAAACGCGCTTTACATTTTTTTTGTCCTTAGGGAAATTTAACCTGCATGTAGGCCTTGCCTATTTAGGTAAGGGGTTGAGGGAGCCTCTCTCTCTAAGCTACGATATTTACTGCAATCAGGGCGTCGTGTTGGGCGTGGACGATCTCAGACACTTCCCCGGTTACGTCCCTTGAATATAAAAAAGGTAGAGCATAAAATAAATATTCGATTGATTAAACATTTGTATGTGCATGTTAATACACACAATGATGTTTATATGAACATTACTCGACACGTGAGGCCGGTTCTATCCAATTTTCTTAATATTTTCAGGGTAGAAATTTTATTTATCTATTTGTTTATGTGAAATTTAACGACGAAGGAAATTTAATTTTTTTTTTAACTTACACACAATAATAAAACAATAAAATTGTTTTCACCCACGAAAGCTTTAGGTAAATTAGATGCTTGTTGTACCCCGGCAAACACGGCACTCCTTATCCCTTCTCTAACACAGTATCTAAGCGCCTTCTTGACCTACTTCTGCTGTCCTACCAAGACATTCCCGGACCTGCGACAATATGATGGCTTCCTTAGATAGACCACCACTGCTGTTCTCTCTCGGCGCCACCCAACGTATCTGATCTCCGGAGAGGATTATACATAGGAAAGGTATCCTGTGTGTGTGTGAAGAGAGATGTGGAAACATGGCAAGCATGGCTCATGGAATGGGGGTGAGCTGCATGGGTTATGGAATAAGGGAGAGCTCAGTTTGAAGGTTAGACCTTCGCTTTAACCGGCTCCTGCGATCGTTGGTCGGAGGATTTGTGAGGCAAAGAACTTCTTAGAGCGTGGATGTCGCCTGTGGCTTGTGATGTGCTCTGGAGAAGGTGTCAGATAATGTAGGGAAGCAGGAGTATTACAATCATCCATGGAACAACGGCCGTTTTGAGGTCCACATAATCGGGGGGACTTATGAAATTATCTTGGTTTATCACCCAGAGAGACTAACATTTCCCGTGGGCTGCTCTCGTGGGCTGCTCTCGTGGGCTCTTCCCGTGGGTTCCTCTCGTGGGTTCCTCCCGTGGACTCCTCTCGTGGGCTCCTCCCGTGGGCTGCTCTCGTGGGCTCCTCTAGTATACTCCTCCCGTGAACACTTTATCGTTTGGAATTCTTAAGCTACTTCATAATTGAGTGAATGACAAAAAATAACAAAAAACATAAATACAAGATATTATACAGGCGAGACTTATATTGGCCAGATAACTGACATGGTTATCGACGGCGGAGCATCATTAATAATTATACTGGTATTTGGTTCTTTCCGTCCCAGTAGAGGGACTTATGGACTTAATAATCATGTAATCCTAAATGACCCGTGAAATAATAATAATAATAATAATAATAATAATAATAATAATAATAATAATAATAATAATAATACCAGCAATAATAATATAGGATAAAAAAGCACACTTGTGTATATATGAAATATATGTAAAGAATTTACACCAAGTCTTACGCACTCTCCTGAGTGCTTTATCAAGGTCTGAGTGTGTGATTATATGTGTGATCATCACATAGCTCGTGATGACCATAACTCATCTCGAGCTATGGTCGTGATGAGAGCTTAGTTCAGTGGGTTTGTGACCCATGACGATGTTGATGAGAGCTAGGTTCAGTGGGTTTGTGACCCATGACGATGCTGATGGGAGCTTAGTTCAGTGGGTTTGTGACCCATGACGATGTTGATGAGAGCTAGGTTCAGTGGGTTTGTGACCCATGACGATGCTGATGGGAGCTTAGTTCAGTGGGTTTATGACTTATGGCGGGGATGGAAGAGCTTGCTATCAAGCATCAAATGAACCAAACGACGAGCATGAAAACAGAGATTAGTGGAAGAAAAATACGTGTCCTGGAATGTATTTTTTCGTGGGCTTGAGGGACGGGCGGGTGAGAGGGGGGGGGGGTGTATGCGAGCCGTCCAGGCAGTGGAAGCCTCGGTTACGATGGGGGTACCTGTGCTTGCCTGGGTAGACGGGAGGGAGGGGGAGGGGCATTGTAGGGGGGGTATAGTAGGGGTGGGTATAGGGGTATTGGGGTGAAAGTTACCTGAGAGGTGTGTGTGTATTATGAGGCGAAAGAAGGAATAACAGCCTACTGCCATACCACCAATTTACACAAATTAATGATTGCTCAGAATTTGTGTGCATTTAAGATTCGTTGTATGAATGTGACTGGTGCTGTGCGCAGTGCCGCATGCGGCACTTACTCTAGCATTTTACGTATCAACAGGTAGCACAAAATCGGTAGGAAGTTATGACAAGTGGCTCGACATTCGCCTGGTAAGGAGGCCTATGCCTTCCCCGCTAGAAATACGGAGGCTGCCCCACTTCGGGAACCACTGTCCGGAGACCAGCAGCGACGTCACCAGCTTCTACTACGGCTTCTCGTGCGTCTGTCATCCCGTAGGTGTCCTTCTCATGGCCACAGGAGTAGTGGGAGGAGTGTGGAGCAGTGACCCACACACTGTTAGGTCTCGCGAGTGTGTGTGTGTGTCAGGATCTTCTAAAGTCAATGATAGAGGGAAGGTCGGTTCCATGTGATGAGGAAGGACTGCACTGAGTTGCATTGGCTGATATGTGTGTGACGTATTTGGTTATGATTGGTTTATATGTGGGCAGTGTATGATGTGTTTAGTTATGATTAGGTGATATGCAGGCAGTGTGTAATATGTTTGGTTACGATTGACTGATATGTTGGTAGTTTGTGTGACATCTTGGTTATGATATGCTATTTATCGGTGTCTTTGCTGTGTGTAATGGCTGTTCTAATGTTATTATATGATTATTGTATGGTTACTGTATGATTACTATGGAATTAGTGAATGGTTGTTGCAATATTCTTCAATGAGTCGTGTATAACCATATGTATACCTTATGTAATGACTGCCATATGATATGTGAAAAGTTAAGTGTATGGCTATTGAATAGTGTATGAGTAGTATGAATAGTCAATGGATAGAGTACTTTTCATGTAAAGTTTCCGTTTTTGAGTGTGTGGTTAGAGTACCGTTAATGTTGGCAGTGTGGAATTAGTGTATAGTTTGATATGGTAATTAGGTGATGCATATAGTTAGTGTATGGTACGAAAAGGTCAGTGTATAGTACTAAAAGGTCAGTGTATGGTATTAAAAGGTCAGTGTATGGTACGAAAAGGTCAGTGTATGGTACTAAAAGGTCAGTGTATGGTACGAAAAGGTCAGTGTATGGTACTAAAAGGTCAGTGTATGGTACTAAGAGGTCAGTGTATGGTACTAAAAGGTCAGTGTATGGTACGAAAAGGTCAGTGTATGGTACTTAAAGGTCAGTGTATGGTACTAAAAGGTCAGTGTATGGTACTAAAAGGTCAGTGTATGGTACAAAAACATCAGTGTATGGTTCGAAAAGGTCAGTGTATGGTACAAAAACATCAGTGTATGGTTCGAAAAGGTCAGTGTATGGTACGAAAACATCAGTGTATGGTTGGAAAAGGTCAGTGTATGGTACGAACAGGGCAATGTATGGTACGAAAAGGTCAGTGTATGGTACGAACAGGGCAATGTATGGTACGAAAAGGTCAGTGTATGGTACGAACAGGGCAATGTATGGTTTTCAAAGATCAGTGCATAGCTGGTGTATATAAAATTCCTATATGGTAACTATACCAATGTCTTCTGTATGCTTATTATGCATAATTCTAAAATATACATATTTTCCAAACCTATTACAGCGCAAAATTATTACTATTATTACGCAGCAAAAAAATAACTACTATTCTTACTGTTCAAAATAGCGTGTGGATTTGGTTTCCTATTTTCTGGAACAATAATCGTGTTAGCTTCACCGAGGTAACCATGCTGAACAACGACACTGTTCTCACAGATTATACAGATATTTTGTTCATATAATAGTCATATATTTTGTTCATCAGTTATATATTTACTCTGCTAACGCTGTTCATAGATAATATATCTTCCTCAGGAGGATATATTATCTAGAGGAGCGCCGTTATGGTACTCAAAGACCACACGTCTGCCGGCGAAACTGTTTAAGTGCTTGGCTTAAACTGTAAGTAGAGCTGAAACACTGGGTCTGAAACACTGGGTCTGAAACACTGGATCTGAAACACTAGGGCTGAAACACTGGGTCTGAAACACTGGGTCTGAAACACTGGGTCTGAAACACTGGGTTTGAAACACTGGATCTGAATCACTGAGTCTGAAACACTGGGTCTGAAACACTGGATCTGAAACACTGGGTCTGAAACACTGGATCTGAAACACTGGGTCTGAAACACTGGATCTTAAACGTTGCTCGCTCTTAACTGATAATGATCTTGAATTCCACTCCACTGTCTAGTCCACCTTTGTTCCAAAAGTTAGTGGATAATTTGTGTTAACGGTCCAGTGGCTAAGTTTTTTATGAAAGATAATTTCTTAATATAATTTCACACTGACTCCTGCTGAGTGAATTACACAGAGGCTTCTAGATAATAATTTGCTTTAATATTTATCGTAACATTTATTTACTGATCAATTTCTGATGTGCAGTTGATATTTTGATTATGATCTATCTTGAGGTTATGTTGAGATGATTTTGGGGCTTAGCGTCCCCGCGGCCCGGTCCTCGACCAGGCCTACTTTTAGTTACAAATCCCCAGGAAGCAGCCCGTAGCCGCTGTCTAACTCCCAGGTACCTGTTTACTGCTAGATGAACAGGAGCATCATAGTGAAAGAAATTTTGCCAATTTGTTTCCACCTCCACTGGGGATCGAACCCGGAACCTTAGGACTACGAATACCAAGCGCTGTTCACTCAGCCGTCAGGCCCCCTAAATCGGTATATAACTGATGTATATATTCCATCCCCAAACCCTTTCGTTATGAGAATCTCAGGAAGATGAACTCTGGCGTAACTGTGTGCACTAGTTGATGGAATATCGAGAACGGTTCGTTATTATTAAGACTTTATACGACAGAAATAAACAAATCCTCTCACTTTAATAAGCCCATTGCTTGCCTGATGCCTCTTACCTTAACATAACCAGTCAACTGCGGCCAAACAACTAGTACCTCTTGCCAATGACCAATTGAACTAGAGCATCTCATTACGCGCCAATAGGGAGACGAGTTGCCCTGGGGAGGGCGTGGGGTAGGCCATCTCGACCAATGGCAGGAGATAAGGGTCATGACTTAATAACAGTCCCGCGGCCATCTTGTTGTTGTTTTAGATTCAGGTAACACGGGCTATGGTGAGCCCGTAGTGGACGGGAGCAGGGCAAGGAACACAGGCTATGGTGAGCCCGTAGTGGAGTTACCTGGCACAGGAGCGGGGCAAGTAGGCACGGGCTATGGTGAGCCCGTAGTGGACTTACCTGGCACAGGAGCGGGGCAAGGAACACGGGCTATGGTGAGCCCGTAGTGGACTTACCTGGCACAGGAGCAGGGCAAGTAGCACAGGCTATGGTTAGCCTCCGCGCTGCCATCTCTAGCCTGACCTACATGTAGAGAGATGCAGAGCTCCGTCCTGGGTCATGATGGCGTGGATGGGGCCCGGCAGGACACGTGTTTACCTAAGAGAAAAACGCCCTGGTGTCCTCGCCGCGTGTGGGAGGCGGACGTATCACATTTATGGCTGATTAGCGTCTTGTTATCCGAGCTTTCGTTGAAGCCACAATATATGAAGGTGTTAGATGCATCTCCTAACGTTATGGGGTGAAGATATTACACGTCAGCAAATTGTGATTCCATGATAAATATTTCAGTTATTATTATTATTATAAATATTATCATTATAGTTATTATCATTGGTGCAATGTAAATTGTTCTTATTATTTAATATAATATTATTATTATTATGATGCGTTTTGATAATTACTTATCATGACTATAATAATAATAATAATAATTAAATTCGTATCACTATTATCATTTGATTATTATTACAAGTATTAGATATGCAGTATTTATATTGTAATTGGTATTATTACTTCTTCCACTATCATCAGTTGGAAGCATTGTTAGCATTAATATTATTTTCTCATTATTATTGTTGTTATTGAAAGGGGAGGAAAGACCCCAATATATCTGTCAGTGTACTAAAACCAAATTTCCAGATGCAACCTACATCCTTTCTCGAGGTGCTGAGAAAGGATGTAGTTTGCACCCGAAAATTTATTTTGTAATACATTTACACATATATTGGGCCTTGCCTTCACGTTCATTCAATCCCTACGGCATTGTAGTGAGTTTCTCCTTTATTGTTATTACTTGTAATATTCTGACTTATAGTGATATTACACACAAACATCACAATAGCGTGATGTATCAAATGAACAAATCCACAAGGTTTCAATTATTTTACCATGTCGTAGCTCAGTCGATTTAGGCAGCGTCTGGGATGCTCTCGAACGTAGGTTTGAATCTTCGTCATGGCCCTTGTGGATTTGTTCAGTGATATTATCCTTATTTCTCCAGATTGTTACAATGAAGAGCTTGGTACTGGTGCTGACCTTAGCTGCCTGTGTGAGTGGTGAGGACGCACACAGCCGCAGGTCCCCGGACTCCAGCGCCTCGACTTTTGGCTCTGGTGATAAATCCGCCTACTCGTACTCCGAGCCTCCTCTACGGCCCTCAGTCTCGTTCTCGGATGCTTCTCTTCGGCCCTCCTATCCCGAGTCTCCTGCTGCTGCTGCTGCTGCCCCACGACCTGCCTCTGCTCCTGCTTCCTCGTACGGTGGTCCTCAGCCTGCCACGTCACAGCCTTCTGCCTCCCTCGACCAGCAAGGATATTATTACTACTACTATCCGGTGCAGGAGGAAGACAAGAAGGGCGTTTTTGACTTCCAGGAAGACAGCGACCTCTTGCTCTTCGTGACCGTGGGCGTGGTGGTCGTCGGAGCCCTGCTGGTGGCTGTCTCGTACTTCGATACCACGTATGCACGCACGCTCGACCCCATCCGCGTCTCGTACGACGACATGTACGACGTGGCCAAGAAGGTGTTCCGAGCTCTCAACAAGAAGTACTGAGGCAGCCGTGCTCTTGTACCGGACACCTCACGCAACACGCACACAAAACATGCTCATACACACATACATACACTCACTCGTAATAACATTATATCTATATAATTTATAAACTTGATAGTCACCAGCCAAAATAAAGTAATAAATTAAAGTAACCTACAACTGACACATGTGTTTTATTATCATCTTCTTTACTGGTTCATTTGTTACTTTTAATTAAAAGTATAGAGAAGCAGGTGAAGGTGGGTGCCATCTACCCCAGGCGAGGCCTAAAATTCCCAGTCCTCTCTTTTAAACTTAGAGAGAGAGAGAGAGAGAGAGAGAGAGAGAGAGAGAGAGAGAGAGAGAGAGAGAGAGAGACACAGACAGACAGACAGAGAGAATGGGCATTTACAATTTGTTTACTCTTTATGCCTGCTGGATCGAGCTGTTAGCTCTTGGGTCCCGTCTTCCTAATCGTCGGTTGTACAATGTACTGACTCTCGACTTATTTTTCTTCTTTCATATTTACTACATATTTCCCTCTCTTTCTTTCACACTCACAAACCCCCAGGAAGCAGCCCGTAGCAGCTATCTAGCTTCCAGGTCCCTATTTACTGCTAAGTGAACAGAGGCATCTGCCGAAAGAAACTTGTGTGTATTCACTTAGTTGTGCTTGCGGGGGTTCAGCTCTGCTCTTTCGGCCCGCCTCTCAACTGTCAATCAATCAACTGTAACTAACTACTAATTCCCCCCCTCACACACACACACACACAGGAAGCAGCTCCGTAACTGCTGTCTAACTCCCAGGTACCTATTTACTGCTAAGTAACAGGGGAATCAGGGTGAAAGAAACTTTCCCCATTTGTTTCTGCCTGGTCCGGGAATCGAACCCGGGCCACAGAATTACGAGTCCTACGCGCTGTCAGCTCAGCTACCAGACATGTGTGTGCGTGTGTATGCGTGTGTGCGTGTAGTGTATGGCTATACTTATGTGTTTGCAGGGATTAATATTAATTTTCTTAGTTTTGCAGATAGTGGTGTCTGCGGTGATTGTGTTCCGAGTTTGATATAAACTACATATTTGTCTTGTGTCTCACATCAGAACGTACAATCTAATATATACAAACGAATGGACTGATTTAAGACAATTAAACAATCAGCCATAAATATTTAAGTGAACAACCTAATATTAAACAAATTCACATATAAGTAAATACACAACATGTTTAGTAAGAAAACTAATCCTGCACAACTACATAAAGCAGCAAGACTTTAGATAAGAAATGCTAGATAAGAAGCAATTCAAAGTCCGGTGTCCTGGGTCACTCTCTTTCTCACCAAGTTCAAGTTCAAGTACGTTTATTGAGACAATAAAATACACCTCAAAGGGAAAGAGTAGCTAAGGCTATTTCTACCCCCCAGTATCTTTCTCACCACAAGGTCTCCGCTTTGGTCCCCAGGGGACGCTGTTCAGTCCCTTCTTGCTGTTGTTGTTGTTTAAAATTCGCTACTTGGAACAAGAAGTTCCAAGTAGCACGGGTTATGGTGAGCCCGTTGTGAACTTACCTGGCACAGCCCCTCTGCCATTCGCCTACCTTAGTTTACTCCTGGCCAGATCTATGGGCATGTTTTGGTTTAAGGCTACCTTACCTTGTGGCTTTGTTTACCTTGTGTTTACCTTGTATGTTTACCTTGTGTAGGGTTGATAGGCTGGCTTTATGCCTATCAACCTGGAAGGGTTATTAATGCTGACACGAAAGCTTACTGACCAATCAGCAAGTATACTATACTATAACCCAAGACATAATTCAGTGCTAAATTAAGAGCGTATGTACACCGATATATAGTGTTCACCGCTATCGGTTGGGAAGCTGGTCACTTGTAGTAATGATTAATACAAGATGGACTGTAAATAGGATATTGGAGTGTTATAGTCGCATACGGTAACGGTTAATACCAAGAAAACCCAGAGCATATCTTTACATCAATATTACTTATATACTTGGATATAATCACCCTAATGTTTACCGATGTATTTATCCAATATTCTGCCATCATTTGGAATATTTTAACCCAGTGGCGGTGCTCCTGTCCTGATCCCTGGAGACAGACACAAGAGAGGTATTACAACGCGTCACACTGCAGATAATTCTGTATTCATTTCAGAGGTACAAAGAGCTATCTTAAAGGCTCTATAAGACATTGGAGAAAAATGTGCTAAGATTTGTAATTATTTAGTTGATCCAACAAAAATGGCAAATATTTTGATAATAAATTACTAACAGGGAATTATCAAGCATAAAGGACATGACCTTGCCTAGTGGGAGCCAGTAGCCAATCAGGAAGCGCCTTCCAGATCCTCCCCTCCCCCCCCCTCCTCCCCTATCTCAGGGAGGTCTCTCAGCGCTAAAAGTAGGTCGCAGGCCTTAGTGGGAGGTCAGTTTCTAGCAGGTCACAGAAGAGGTCCGGCGACCCGGAGCTGTCCCAGTAATTACTGACGGTAAGTGCTCATCTCTGTATACTGGTGCGAAATTCGCGTTGAAGCTGATTGCTCCATCTTTAAAACTGATTCAGCTCACTGCCTTAATAAAACACAGAAATACTTGCCATGATCGCTGGGCACACGATCAAACACAGGCAATCACTAACAACTGACCACTAACAACTGGTCTTTGCTCGTAGTATCCGCCACACTGTGTTGAAGGACTCGAGTATTCTTACTGGTTGTCAAGTGATCATTTGACGTGTCATTAATAACCGTAGGGAGGTGAATGGGATCTAAGCCTGTCACCAAACCACTTAGCAAAATTACCTAGTTGATTCGTTAATAATATTGGAAATTGGGAATAAGGTTTTAGATATTTTCGAAATATATGTATACACATATATTTACCTGTAACCCAGGGGCCCCACAGTACCTGTAGCCCAGGGGACCCACAGTACCTGTAACCCAGGGGCCCCACAATACATGTAGCCCAGGGGCCCCACAATACATGTAGCCCAGGGGGCCCCACAGTACCTGTAGCCCAGGGGGCCTACAGTACCTGTAGGCCAGGGGCCCCACAGAACCTGTAGCCCAGGGGTCCCACAATACATGTAGCCCAGGGGGCCCCACAGTACCTGTAGCCCAGGGGGCCTACAGTACCTGTAGGCCAGGGGCCCCACAGTACCTGTAGGCCAGGGGCCCCACAGTACCTGTAGCCCAGGGGCCCCACAGTACCTGTGGCCCAGGGGGCTCCACAGTACCTGTAGCCCAGGGGCCCCAAAGTACCTGTGGCCCAGGGGCCAACGAAATCTTAATCCTGCTCTTCAGTTTTTTTTTTTTTTTTGTAATCCTGATTCTCCGCATTCTTTCCCTACTGCTCAACATCTTCCCTTATTGCTTCATAATGTTTACTGCTTTCTCCTTGTAGCACAATATGTTATTTTCCTAATACATTTCACACCTTTCCCTATTCCACTGGTTTTCCTCTTTTTGTTCCAGAATCCTATTCCACTGAATGGGTCTAGCGAGTGGAAAGGGCGTTGGGTAGAACATCTGGTGTTACGATGAGGGTTTAGGATATGTTTATGTTGGACTAAATTATACTTGCTGGTTGTTTAGTAAGCTCTTGTGGTGGCCTTGATAACCCTCCAGAGGTTGTTAAACCTTCAGCCCAACACCAAACATTACAAGTGCTTTCTCAACTTTGCAGGGATACTATAATTAAGTTTTATTGTTTTACATTAGCATTACTTTCTTCACATTTGTAACTTCCTTTTTTGATATGTGATAAATATGTGTAAGCATTGCTGGAACAACTTGTAAACGTTTCTAAGTATGGAATTATCTGCCATAATAATACTATGTGCTATCCAGGCGAACAACACTAAAATGTGTCAATTTGTAGGTTTACGTATTATTACAATGTTGCCATAAAATAATTCACTTTTCCTCCTCATGTAATTTAAAAAATCAGTGTTTTGTTCCTGGCGAAGATGAGGCCAATACCCGCGCTGCTGCTGATGCTGGTGATAACTGCTGGAGTGCGGACTCACGACGCCCCCAGCCAGTCCTTCGTCGAGTCCCCTGACAATACTCCGCCAGCTCCTCCGTCCTCTGACCCAAATCAGCAGTTCGGGCTTCCTCCAGCGCCAGCAGGAGGCTTCAGGTTTCTGTACGGACCCCCTCCTGTACTGTCCAGTGGCCAGGGTCTTTTATTTGGACTTCCTCCGCCTCCATCTTCAATCGAGTATGAGATGAATCCCTCACCTGGCGACAAGTGAGTACAGTTTTATATGCTTGTGTTTGAAAAGTAATATGCATGCGTGTACTCACCTACGAGTGTTTGCTGTGTGTGATCTTAGATCCTTTGTATCACCTCTCAAGCTTCAATTAATAATTATTTTTATAATAGGAAGAATTTTATTTACAAGAAGGTACACTGGGGTTGGGAGATTACATAAGATTGGTATTTTGAAATTTTTTCAAAGCCACTATAATGCGTGTTAGTACTGCCGAAAGTCTACTGAACCCTGTGAGGCTACTCCTACTTATACCCAACCAAACTCACTCATATATGTCTAACCTTCGCTTCAAACAATTTAGCGATCACACATCATTTATATCACTCGGTAATTTGTTACATAAATCCCTTGTCTCCAAAAATGTATTGGCTAACTCTCGAGCCTATGATGCATTCATATATATCTTGGCTCTCACTGGCAACGTCTCCTGCAGCTCCCCGTCGCTTTTCGACGACGACTGCGGGTACTGGAAGACACTGAGCGTCGTCCTGCTGGTAGGGATTGGTCTGACGGGCCTTGGACTCCTAGCGAAGGTCTGGCCGCCACCGCAGTCGGTCTTCGGAGGGAAGGACCCAGCCTCCAAGCTCAGCGATCCTGCCTTCGTGACTTCGGTTCATGATAAGATTAGCGACATCTCCAGGATCCTGACGACCATCAAGGAGGCCTCGCAGAAAGACAAAACAGACTAGAAAAGAGGATAAAACGGGAAAGAATATGTTCATTTTATGGTTAGAAATAGATGAGAGAGAGAGAGAGAGAGAGAGAGAGAGAGAGAGAGAGAGAGAGAGAGAGAGAGAGAGAGAGAGAGAGAGAGAGAGAGAGAGAGAGAGAGAATGCTGACTAGATGATATAATACAAATTTGCAAGCTATCTGAGAAAAGTAGTAATCTCATCACTATTAAGGTAATTTATTTGTTTATTTATGCTTGTAATTGATTAAATAAAGTATATCCCTTGAACTGAATCTATGAACCTGTGAATTATATATTTTTGGTTCGGAAAAATCTCAATCAAGGCGAAATTGTTTCAAGCATTTTCTAACAAATTGACGATATGTTATAAAATGTGACCAAGTATATCAGAGGTTAAAAACCATTTACGTGAAGCAGAGATGAAGACCATTCGACACAACGATGCTGGGACACTTAACCATTCATTATCTGAATGGTATATACTGTACTCACACACACTTTGTGCAATAAATTTCAAGATGAATGACACGAGGATAAACATACCACGTCTGAATAAATTATTTCCGTATATTATCATTTAAAACATGTATAAATAATATATAAATATAAATCAAATGCAACAAAATAATAATAAAACACACACATTTGTTTAATATATATGTATATATATATATATATATATATATATATATATATATATATATATATATATATATATATATATATATATATATGAAACGGTTAAGAATGAGACAACGTCATTCTCTCACGTGAGAGAAAGAACCTATCAACATTATTGAGAGAAAGTCGACTTGGCAAAGTTTTGCTAAGTTGATTTGTAGAGGACCAAGGCCCACTCTAGCAGACTATGATGCGTCGAGCGGCCATACTCTACATTTGAACTCTATTTGTAAATTTAACTAAAATATATCTGCATAACATTAAATAATCAAGAGCCTAATTCACATTCCATTTAGCAAACTTGAAATAAAACTGGGTTGTGAATACAGCCTAAAGATATTGCAATGATAAGTGTCTCCAAATCTTTACTGATCTTCAATCACTTATTAAAACAACTCTTAAAGTTTATAAACACATGAATGAGATACAACACATCTACATGCTCAGCTTATGCTCAAAATGAGGATAAAGCCAAATGCACTTTAATGCAGCAGTCGTTCCTCCTCTTTATGAACGAGAAACACTTTAGATAAGACACGCAACTCTTCATACTTCACCTTCGTACTGTAAATAAATATAATTGCCAACAGTACCCAGACACTTAACCTAATCTCTCTAATCCTCATTATACATAAAATTCTTAATATATTATAATAATATTAATTTATATGAGAAAATGTCGTTTTTAATAATACAGGACGAACAAATATTAAGAATGAGGATTTGAGAAGTGCAACAGCAGTGGAATTGTGTGCATATTTTTAAATATTCATTGGCACCGGTAGATTTATTCCTGCTCCCAAACTCCAAACTAAATCCACGTTATGTGCACAATCTTGCATCGAGGTTATACGACTTATATTTATCTTATTTCCTAAACTTACAATTGGTGCATATACCTACGAGTGTTGAAGAGACCAGGGGCCAGATTCACGAAGCACTTACGAACGTGTACATCTTTCATCAATCTTTGACGGTTTTTGTTACATTTATTTCAGTTTACAAGCATGAAAACTTCCCAATAAATTGTTGTTATTGTTATAAACAGCCTCCTGGTGTTTCGAAGCTCATTAACTGTTTAATAATTGTTAACAAAGCCGCCAATGATCGAGAAAAGAAGTACAGGTTCGTTAGTGCTTGCGTAACTGCTTCGTGAATCTGGCCCCAGGGAACCACAGCCCAGCTGGGACTGATTCTTCTACCTAAGTTTAGATTTGGCAAATTGAATTTTTTGTTTTGTTTTGCGCAGAATTTTACTGTGAACATAGACGTTAATGCAAATGTTTATTATCTCAAAATATATTATCTGATATATCTTATTAAATAAAATGCATATATGCAAAATGCAGAATTGTAATAGAATCATTTATTCATCCCCTTATGATTGTATAAATTATCATCGACACTTAGACAGCAGTGTTTCTGTCGTTATTAATGAGTATTTTGAGTTGTAATCGAAGAGATATATACACCGAGAGGTGTATCTCATTTCTCAGTGTATATACACTGAGAATTGTCTTTAGTCATGGACTATTTTCAAGACTAAAGTATACTTGCTTGTTGGTCAGTAAGCTCGCTTCAAGGCCTTAATTACGCTCGGGAAACTGATAGGCCACTAGCCAAACTAGAAACCAAACTAAATTTTAATAAGTTTTTGTTATTAAATTTTAAATTTGGATGCTGATTTCGATAAAAAATACAGGTTCTCTGTGTTAGCTAATGTTTGCAGATTCAAGCCAAGACGATTAAGAGGAATTTGTTAATATTTCATATACGATGTTTACACAAATTTTTCAGATCGAGATAATTATATTAATTCCCACCTGGATTCCCTATCAGCAAAGGATAAAATTCCCAATCAGAAATAAGTGTCATTATTAATGGCTGAAACTGAATACTGTGGAATTATGATCCACACTCAAAACAGTCTGAAGAGACGAGACAATAAGACGACTTCATTTATTGCTCAGGATGCTTGGCTAAAACTAAATTCTGCGGAACTGGAATTCCCATCAAGAATTCTTAATAGATGAGGAGGTTTCGGAAGATTTCTTCACTTCTTGTCGATGACAGAGCACTCGAAAGTCTCGCACTTCTCCTCGTTCACTCCGGCCTTGAACTTGGTGAACAAGTTGCTGTATCTCGAGGAGGTGACGTAGCCCAGGAGCCTGTGGTACAGGAAGATGGACCAGTTACTGACCAACGACTGTGTGCTTCTGGTATATTATGTAGTCAAACATATTATTTTCTGCACAGAATATGAAATACTGTAGTACATTCCTATAAACAAAAGTGTATAAATAAATAATATCAAACTATTATATTGACGACTGAATTATATTTCGTGTATTTCAAAAGGATTTAAAAGATTTATCAAGCAATTTTATTTTCAATTCAGATGGTTTCAGTAACAAAACCAGAATGTGTATTGTCCAGCGGTGTTATTATAATGCTTGGGTATGTCTAGAATCTATACATATATATGTACAGTATATTATCTCAGTAAAATTATATATATATATATATATATATATATATATATATATATATATATATATATATATATATATATATATATATATATATATATATATATATGCAGAAGTTTTAGTAAGAAAGTTCTGCAGTTTTAGATGCAGAAGATAATAACATGGTCTCAAATATCGTATTAAATATTGGTGAAAACATTACTAAAAGGAAATCGTCGAACAAAAATCAGACACGTTTTTAGGAAGAAAACAGAAGAGAAATCGGTATTTATGCTAATAATATTCCTGGCAAATAAATATGGGACCCAGACAAATATTTGTATAATGAGGCCAAGTGACATGTAAAGCAGGTGGGCGAGTCCCTTTAAAATACACTACAACACCCACCTGTCATGAGCACCTCACGTCTACACTCACCGTCTCGTCTATCCTGTCCCACACCCACCTGTCATGAGCACCTCACACGTCTACACCCGTCGTCTCGTCTATCCTGTCCAACACCCACCTGTCATGAGCACCTCACACGTCCACACCCACCGTCTCGTCTATACTGTCCAACACCCACCTGTCATGAGCCCCTCACACGTCCACACCCACTGTCTCGTCTATCCTGTCCAACACCCACCTATCATGAGCCCCTCACACGCCCTCATATACCGTTCTTCTACGTTAACTGTGTCACTTGAATGCTTATTCCCTGGAAATGCTGAACTTTTGTTTAAAATGTACCTGTTTAGTATGTATCTGTTTTTGCGGGTATATGATCATTTGTTTAATATATCAGTTTAATAAATGATTATTTGTTATATATTTATATTTGCTTCAAGTGTTATTAATGTATTTATTTTAATTCATTTGATCGTATCACTTTAGCAGTAAAAATAAAATAATGCTGGCTCTTTCTTATGTTGGTAACCCAAGCACCACCAAGCTGACACGATAAGATCTATCTCAGAAAAGCAAAAAAATTTTGTGCTTACTCCTGTATATAGATTTGGTAAAGTTGTGTCACTTATGTTCTTTCTCTCCCCCCCCCATCCTACCACTTCGATTGGACGGTAGAGCGACGGTCACGCTTCATGCAGGTCGGCGTTTAATCCCCGACCATCCAAGTGATTGGGCACCATTCCTTCCCCCTGTCCCATCCCAAATCCTTATCCTGACTCCTTCCTAGTGCTATATAGTCGTAATGGCTTGGTGCTTTCCCCTGATAAACTCCTTCCTTCCTGACCTAACCTAACCCAACCTGAAATAACCTAACTTAACCTAACCTAACCTGACCTAACTTATATCCACCGTAACCAAAAATATCCTCACATTCTGTGGCATCTACCCACATGGAGCCATAGGAAGACACCTAGGGACATAGTGACTACGGGGCCTGGTCTTCGACTCACCTGAGGACAAGTTTCTGGTGGTGTGGCTTGAGGGATGTAGAGGCAGCTCCCAGCTTGCAGGCGAGCCGCTGGATGCACAAGTCAGACTCGATGGCCTTCTGGTATACGCCCAGTAGGTACTCCGTCATCCCCCCCACCTCAACCTTCTCCGTCTCTGTAAGCCACGTATCGGAATGTTAAGGAGTGCGGCTGAAAGCAAATGGTCTCAGGAATTATGTGGTTCGTTGTTTGGTTATAATTAACTGGACCTTTTTATTGATAAACCGACACACACACACACGCACTCACACACAACTAGGTGAGTACAACTAGGTCAGTACACACTACCAAGATGAAGAAAATGATGCATTCATATCAATAAATCAGGACGATGTAAAAATATGCAAAACAACATAGAAAAAGCATCGGGAAAATGCTCGGGAAAATGACCCCACGACTTTAACCCAGATAAATGCAAGGCAATGAAATTTAGAGCAGGAATAAGAGCCAATCAACACTACTATAAGAGACGACTCCCTCAAGCAGTAACTGCGAACGACTTGGGTGTTATTTTTATCATCAGAAGTTTACATAAATAAGGTAGCATGGCGCCAAATACACGACGAACCAACGACGTTGCTACAACATTCGAACAAGGTTTATCATCTAACAAGTTGTAACAACCAATATAGCTAGTTGTAACAACGTTCTAATGCGTCATAAAAAGGTTATAACAAGATGTAACAACTTTATTACAAGTTGTGACAAGGGAATCATAGGGACCGTTACGATGTGTGTGTTCGCAGGGGCCTAATACTAGCATATTCACTATACCAATCTGGTCTTCACTGCACTACATCGCTGTAACCATCTTCACTACACTACACCACTGTAACATCTTCACTACACGCGACCTTCATCACTGTATACTGCAACAAAAAAACAAAAAACAAAACAAAAATAACCTGAAATGAGTAGCGAAAGTAAAAAAATAGATGATGTTTGTGCCTGACCTCAGATGTCAGTCAGTGACCTGAGATGTCAGTTGTTTCCAGGCTGCGTGTCAGGTGAAAATACCAGACCTTCCGCGGCGGAGACAGGTGTAACCGGTTGACCTTCAGCGTTGCGGACGGGTGTCGATGGCTGACCTGTCGTGTCGCGGACGGGTGTCGACGGCTGACCTGTCGTGTCGCGGACGGGTGTCGACGGCTGACCTAGCGCGGCGAGAACATTCGTCGATGTCTGACCGCTCGAGGTCGTCGATCTATCCACCAGTTGGAAATCAACGAGAATTTCGCCGATAGCAGAACCCGCACCCTCGTAAGTCTCGTTGACACAGTAGATAATCCCGCACACGATATAAAACAGGAAGATGACGGCCGTTATGATGAATACCGTAATAAGCATGGTGAGGAGTCCGTTACTCTCCTTGTCGTTACAGTATAAGGTGATCTCGCGATTCACGGATCTCACGTCGCGAGCTGTGCGAGTCTTGTTAATACCCTCGTGACTTGGTAAAGGTGGAGGCGTCTTCTCACTGCTGTCCTTTGTTTTCGAAGATGGCTTCACTTGGCCATTGGCGGCCACCTTTACTCCCGAAGATGACTTCCCTTGGCCAATGGCGGCCACCTTTACTCCCGAAGATGACTTCACTTGGCCATTGGCGGCCACCTTTACTCCCGAAGATGACTTCCCTTGGCCAATGGCGCCAACCTTTGCAGACGGAGACGAGTCCCGTCGGAGCTTGGCCAGCGAGTACCGCTCGTTCTGGACTACCTTCCCGTCAACGAGCGTCGTCACGATGATGTCGTCCCCTTTGCCTTGGGAGCTGTTGCTCAAACTCACGCCTTGTGAGACTGTCTCACCCGCGGAGCTTTCGTCGTTCAAGGGGCTCACGCCTTCGGAGCTCTCATCGTCCTCGGGGCTCTTCTTGCCCGAGTAATTGACACCCTCGGAGCTCTTCTTGCCGGAGTAGCTAACACCCTCGGAGCTCTCATCGTCCAAGGGGCTCTGCTTGTCCAAGGGGTTCTGCTTGTCCAAGGAGCTCTCATCGTCCAAGGGGTTCTGCTTGTCCAAGGGGCTCTGCTTGTCCAAGGAGCTCTCATCGTCCAAGGGGCTCTGCTTGTCTAAGGAGCTCTCATCGTCCAAGGGGCTTTGCTTGTCCAAGGAGCTCTCATCGTCCAAGGGGCTCTGCTTGTCCAAGGAGCTCTCATCGTCCAAGGGGTTCTGCTTGACCAAGGGGCTCTGCTTGTCCAAGGGGCTCTGCTTGTCCAAGAAGGTAACACCCTCGGGGCTCTGCTTGTCCAAGGAGCTCTCATCGTCTAAGGAGCTCTCATCGTCTAAGGAGCTCTCATCGTCTAAGGAGCTCTCATCGTCTAAGGAGCTCTCATCGTCTAAGGAGCTCTCATCGTCTATGGAACTCACGACCTGGGAGCTCTCATCGTCTAAGGAGCTCACGACCTGGGAGCTCTCCTGACCTAAGAAACTCTCCATGCCCTGAGACTTCACGGCCCCGCTAATAAACAAATACAAGAAAATAACCTTTAACATCATTATTTTCTAAGTATACTATTGTTATTACACACAAATTATATGAATTAAAAAGAATTAATAAATCGTAGAGAAACATTCCAGTTGAAATAAGATGGTATGTGTCGCCCCTCTGACACACACACACACACACACACACACACACACACACACACACACACACACACACACATATACTTCTTTTAGCGTGAGAGTAGTGGAAAAATGGAATGCACTTGGGGAACAGGTTGTGGAAGCAAATACTATTCATACTTTTAAAACTAGGTATGATAGGGAAATGGGACAAGAGTCATTGCTGTAAACAACCGATAGCTGGAAAGGCGGGATCCAAGAGTCAATGCTCGATCCTGCAAGCACAAATAGGTGAGTACACACACACCAGAAGATTTTATTGACACGGTTACTTACCGTCCGCCTCGCGCTTGATCTGGTAATGATGACGTTCTGGCCACAAGCCTGATATGGCCAAGACAGCAAGCGCAGGCAGGACCAAGACGGAGACGGCGTCCGAGGCTACTGTGTACAGGCGAGGCATCATGGACCGTGCCTGGGACCACAGTGAGCGAGGCTGGGCCCACCAGCGATTCCTGTGCCGTGGGACCCTATATGCCCCTTGGGCCTGGGCGGGCGTGGCTGGGAGCAGGACGAACACAAGCAGGCAGCAAGAAAACGCAAGGACGACGGGGGTCATGCGCGCCTGTAACAACAATAATGGACACGTTACTCACCCGTTTCCCGGCGACGACGACTTGTGGTGTTGATGGTGAGAGTGTCGGGGAAAAGAAGAGAGAGGCCGGTAATGGCGAGGGCAGCCACTATGTAAACTATGTAGTTGTCATTTTTCCAAAGTGTCTGATAGTTGCCTTTTTGCCGTGGTATTTCGCCGACAAGATTTTGCTTTGGCAATGGTTGCCCCTCTTGGTGCTCTGGTAATGAGAGACGAGCCTCTTCATCACTACCAGCAAGGGAAGGAGCAGTTTGAAGATAGACCAAGAGCAGCACGAGCAAGGAGACCTGCATGTTAACGGGCCCCATGGCCATTGTGAACTGACTGCCTGCCAACGCCACCAACCGCTGTTCTCACTCTAGATCTGGAAAAATAGTCACGCAAGCCACCACAGGGGCCCAGAAACCCCACATGAAGGGGAAGGTGGGGGAGGGAGTATCATCATTCTTTAATGGGAGAAAATTACTGGGTTTCTCCCACCGCTGTGTTCCAGACAAGGCAATTTCTCGTAAAATACTTCACGGTGTCATTACCAAAAGGAGGCGAGAAACCGCTTTATTACCATACAAGGAAGGCTAGAAAAACATGTATCGCTAAATCAGGCCAGAAAAAATGTATGTTTAAATCAACGTTTCTAAATATTGTTCTACATGAGAAATAATGATAATTATGAAGGTAATATAGTAACACAACAGTAATATAGTAGCGCCAGATGTTGATCCATATGATCTCATTCTCCTCCCCCTTCCCCCCCTCGTCCTCCACCGGTGATGGCATGACACCATAACCGGTGATGGCATGACACCTGAGTGCATCTGGGAAACTATCGTTCAGTTTGATCAAACTTGCCTTTAATAGCGCATTCTAAGTTACATTTAGGAACTCTTGAATATTCTGCAACACAGACGGTGCTACAGAGCCTTCCTAGCTGGCCGTTTGCCTTTGACAATTACTGTTTTCCTCTCGTTACGCTCGACAGGCTGCTCCTGTTTAATTTATACATATACGATTTCCTTATGTAAATATGTGAATCATTTAGTTACTGGACGAACAATACTGGAGGAAGTTATCAAAAGTTAACGGTCATCACTGTTCCAGATGCATTTTAATATGCATTAATCTGTATAGCGTGTATCATCACCAACGTTGACTTGTTTCTGTTCATGCCTTGCTTCTAATAAAACAAATTGGTGGGGTGCGTGTGTAATGTTTTGGAGATATTGCTGGAAGGTTCACAAACACAATAAAACCTGGCGGGTGTAATTCCGGGTTAGGAAACTTTCTAGTGACATGCCCATCCACTCCACTGGCAAACACGGAAGCCACTTCTGCTTCCATTATGGGCATCTGTTAGGATCTTTTAACACTCGCCCCACACACTGTGAGACAGAGACCCAGAGACACTTCAAGATGTTACACGACCAAAGATCACACTCAGGAGTTACAGCCCCGCTCCTGTGCCAGGTAGGTCTACTACGGGCTCATCAAAACCCTGTGCTATTTGGAACTTTTTGTTCCAAGTAGCGAATCTTAAACAACAACAACAAACCAAAGATCACATTCACTCAAACATCAACCACTTTCGGGCTATCCATGCCCGTGCCACCTCTTGTGGTGGCTTAATCTTCATCAACAACAAACACAGTTGGGGGAAGTGGTGCGGGAGGTTGATGACTGATGAAGATTAAGCCACCCAAGAGGTGGTACGGGCATGACTAGCCCGTAATGCGGGAGTTGTACTCAATAAACTTGCCTCAAGATTCTGGTGCTTACCCTCGGACTGACATCAGTGGGCTTGACATCATTGGCCTCACAAACACGAGACTTCCTATCTCGAGGCTGACATGTGTGTTAAATCACCGGCTTTGGTGCAGGTGAAGCAGACCACAGATATTAATGTAGAAATTAGGATTTGTTTGTCACTATATCAAAGTATTTGTACTCTGTATATATTTTCTGTCTAAACGGGAGATTTTTTTCATATTTACTCGCAATTTGGAGCACTAAACATGTTCTAAATTAGAGCATTTTTTGTAATATTTAATGAGTATCTGAGATTAAACATTAAAATTTGCACATGACTTTTAGTAACATTGATGACTGACATGATGCGCTCCTTATGATAATTGTTCTTTAGGGTAATTAACATGTAAGGTGTTAATTTGTCATCACAAACCTTTAAAGGGCTATAGTCATATTTGCTAAGCACCTTCTCCTGATTACCTATGGAAGTTCTTTTTTTCTGAAGTTGCAAGTTTAAACTAGCAGTAAGGGGAATACCTTAGGCAACTACACTTCCTTTAGTATCCATGATTAAATCTCATCAGGGGTCAACATTTTTTCCTTTTTCCGAGGTCACTCAGCTTGCACGTCTCTGAGGCAGCTTAGATTCCTGGGGCCAGATTCACGAAGCAGTTACGTAAGCACTTACGAACCTGTACATCTTTTCTCAGTCTTTGGCGACTTTGTTTACAATTATTAAACAGTTAATGAGCTCCGAAACACCAGGAGGCCGTTCATAACAATATTAACAGTTGATTGGGAAGTTTTCATGCTTGTAAACTGTTTAATAAATGTAACCAAAGCCGTCAATGATTGAGGAAAGATGCACACGTTCGTAAGTAGTTGCGTAACTGCTTCGTGAATCTGGTCCCAGGTTATAAAGATCAGAAATCTTTCAGCTCTCGCACATCTTGTCGTTTTCCATGAATTCTCCGTCAATTGTGCTCTGACTGACCACATGGTCATTCACGCATATCTCTTATGACGTGGCTGCGTAGAATTAAGGCTCCAGTACTATTATTGTTGTCATTCGTACAATGTCTCCTCTCCTTTGCTACGTTTAATTCTTACAGGCTTGATTCTTGTTCTCTCGGTCATCAGTAGTTCAATGCTATGACTATTTTTCTTTCACTTGTGTATATGTTAATACCCAAACTACCCATATGTCTCACATAGACAAAAGCGACTGCGAGACGAGAGATAATATCCAAGATGCTCACCATAGCTGGATGCTGCAGGTGGTGTGTGTGTGTGTGTGAATGAGTAGTGGCCAGGGACCAGGAGGCAGTGTCTGGATGAGCAAGAAGCGACGCACTGAGCAGGTCTCTGGGCCTCACTGTCTATATAACACGTGAGTCTGTACCAACACGCTGCGTGACACCGCGCCGTCGTGGCAGGAGAATACTACCTAGCGTCCAGGGTCCTCACGCTACAGGTCACGTTTCGTCACGCTCTGGTTCGTCTACTTCCGTTTTGCTTCCTCTTTGCTGCTTGATATACATTAATATTTCGTCTCATTTCTCGAAACATGCTTAAGGAAGTTTCTTATAATACATGCTCTACATTTTCAATAAGCTTTCAATGTACGCTGAGAAACAAAAAGGCTAACTTCTAATACGAGGGAAAAGCTTGCCAGATGTTATTGGCTCGGTCGGTGAGTATGGCACATATTACCCAATCACATGCACGAATAGCGTATGTTGATCATGACCGCTGTCCAATAGCGGAGAGCCGAAGCCATGACGTCACACCTCGGACTGTGCGGGCCCACAACTTGGATATTATCGTAAGAGGTAAGCGGTGGTTCCATTAACGTTAACAATCATAATTTTATTAATTGTTAAAAGAAAGATACCAGATTTCCATCTTACCTGCGAAAATTTAACATTTTTGCTATACGTCACTAATGTAGAAATTGGTCGTGTATACCTAAAAGAAATGATTTGTTATTGACCAGAGATGAGCAGCAAGTGCGGAATGGGACCAGGGCGGGTTACTAGGTAACGCCAAGCTAGACCATATGTCGAGGCGGCCGTTACGTGACGTTGTTGGTTCCTCCGTCGCGCTGGTGACCCACATCACGCCTCTCACGCAGGTAAATGTTTCGAGCACGGCGTTGTGGTGTGAGTGTATGGGGTGGGTGCATCAGGGAGGGTGAGAGAGAGAGAGAGAGAGAGAGAGGCATGGTAGTGAGGACATTCTCAATTGCACGAAATCGACAATGAAGCTCCTGCAGACGATAATTTTTTGATCCAGTGACGACTGTCGGCACGTTCAGTCACTGAGTTTTTTCTCATATCCACCAGCACTCAAACTGGACATATCCACCCGCACCAACACTCACATATTACAGAGCTCCACCAACACTCACACACTACATAAATCCACCAACACTTACACACGGGACATATCCACCAGCACCAGAACTCGCTATACAGATCCATCAACACCATCACTCACACCCTCACCAAAGTAAAGACTGCGTCTCCTTGAGAAGTCAACAAACAATACCATGATAGTAATGGTTGACTTAGCACACAATCGCCTGCAAGAACTATCAAAGAAAACTTGTTGCGTTGTGTTTAACCAGGCCGCTGGGCACGGGGAGACATGATACCCATACCCAAGCTAAACTCTTTCGAATTCTAGATGGTAGAGCGACGATCTCGCTTCTTGCAGGACTGCGTTCAATCCCTCGATTGTCCAAGTGGTTGGGCACTATTCTTTTTCTCCGTGCTATCCTAAATCCTTATCCTTATAACTTACCCTAACCCTGCATGGTCGTAATGGCTGTGCTTTCTCCTGATAATCAATTATCCTGCCTCACCTCTTTCGAATTCAGAATTATTTTCACTGACCCGTATCCTATCTCGATCCTCATTCCTGCATCAATATTATCAGGACACTTACTTCATAAAGCAATTATTTGTATAAAATCACTGGGCGCTTTTGTTTATATATAAATTCTTCACAGCACCGTGTGTTATAGGAATTCTTTCGTCTTCAGGAGATCTCAGGATGCATTTAATATAACAAGGGATATAGATTTGAAGGTCATTATATATATGATATTGTTGGTGAATGAAGGTGATATATTATTTATAATTTTCTATGACAGTTCTGCTAAGAAACAAGAATTGCAAATTTCACCATATTTAGTTTAAAATGCTTAATGGTCAAGTTTAAATAAATGTATAAATTTAAAGATACGTATATGGTTAAAAATAAGTAAAACATAGATGCAAAAATATAGGACGTGGAGGATGACAGGATATATATAAAGTGGATGCAATTGAATGTTGTTTATATAAAAATATAAACAACATTCAATTAATCACTGGCCAATGATCCCGGCTCATTCGCAAGGAAGCATAATTAAATAGATTGCATAATAAGGAAACATAATATATAGATTGCTATATATTACGCTCTTGGTACGGCAGAGGAACTAAATACATAGACCCCCCAAAAATGTTTATTTATGTTTATGTTTATGTGTATTACTATGTACGAATGTGAGCTGCGTTCGTCTAAAATATATACACTTTCCAGCTAAGCTGAGAATCTAGCAGTATTAAAATCCCACTGTCCTATAATGTGAAGGTTATGTAGTATATATAATATATATCATATCTTATATATTGCCTTGTATATTTAAGATATGCGTGTCTAGGCAGTTATAAGAGAACCATAATGAATGCGAAGACTGGAGAGAATTTCTGACGTATTTACTAACAATGGGAAAAAGTTAAGGAAAGTAATTTATTAAAGCATAGAGGCATAAAGCATTAAAGCATAAAGCATATTTATTAAAGCTTAATAAACAGTTACTAGTGATAACTCCTGCGGATTTACAATGTGAATTTACAACATATATAATTTCTAACACTATAATAAATAATAAATTAGATTAGTTTATTTGTATGATGATGTGATCGTATGGGCTTAGTGTGGTGACAAGAGTGATAAATATATGTTTTTATTTTTTGGGGGAATGAGGGGGTTTAAAACGTATTATGTATGATTTAGTAAAAAGGTATGGATCTTCCTACATTCATCTGTAGGAGACTTCCTACAGGTATGGATCCTCCTACATTCATCTGTAGGAGATGAATCGTATAATAGGTGTCCAGGGCATAAATGGAATCAAGGGACAAGTAAGCTGTTTAATAAATGCAAAATATACCACAGTGATCGAGGAAAGAATGACAGATGTCTTAAGTGAACACTTAAGGGTTTGATGAATCTTGGTCATAGTTCATAGGAACAAGACAAGATTAGATGCGGTCATATCACTGCCTTGTATATATAAGATGTTGACGTCAGCAGCATAAAATTGAATAGTTTACATAAACAATCTGAGAAGCATATATGATGCTATGAGAATGAAGAAATATATTACAACGTAATGGAAAGGCAAGAAACATAAAAGCAGGGAAAATATATTGACAAAGTATGACGATATTGAGCGAATGAATGACAAATAAACTGGAGAGTAATATTAATTTTAGATAATATAAGAGTTGGAGAGATGCTGCCATGAAAAAATCTGGGCAGACATGGCAAATGAAAAAGAGTCAAGGGGACTGATCGCGAACATTGCCCGAGAAGCGAGTGAGGGCAAGGGCGGAAGAGTGAATATTCGACATGTTTGTACATTGCAACTCGTAAAGAGAACTCTACATCTAGTGTTGTGAAGCGGTGGGGGCGCTGTTGTGTATTATTTTGATTTAATGCGGCGTGGACTGGTAAGTGAAAACACTGTTTAGGGTATAAGATGTGGTGGATGGATGGATGTAGAGTGAAAAATACCCGTACTCTTTCTCTTCTATAGCCGAATGCTCTCCTATTTTCTCAACACTGAGGCCTCCAAATCCCATACAAATGAGAATCTGCATAATGATAATGATGATAATGATAAAGATGCTTATGATGATTACGATGATTCACAGTTTTATCAATAGACGATTAACAGAGTTCAATTTTCTTCGTTGATCTCAAGCTTCCAAATGAGTTCATGAAACTGAAGCTTATTTAATGCAACTGGTTAGAGCAGCTTCGGAAGGACGCATCTCAATTTCTTGCAATTCCTGTTATCGAAATCAGACTGGGAAGCTTGCTTGAAGATATCCAAGTTGTTCTTAACAGATTCAGGGACTATAGGTTCAACCAGGCTAGAAAACAAAGACAAAATTGACAATATTAATGAATCAATCAGTGAGTGGCCAATCATGGGACAAAATATAATTACTGAGCATATACCTCTTACTCTGTGATAAAAGCCACCCGCCCGCATTATAATTAGAAACGAGAAAATTACTTTACTCAAACATATCAGTAATAGAAGAAACATATAGCATAGGATATTTCCTAATAAAATGTATTAACAATAGCTTTTTTTAGGTTACAAGCCTAATTTTATCGCTACGTTTTATTTTAACAAATTAAAGGCGTGTTCTAGAAGTTAAAATATTGTTTTACTAGTTTATGGTATGTTTACTAGATAAAGTCATATTCTGCCAGAGAGAGAGAGAGAGAGAGAGAGAGGGAGAGAGAGAGGGAGAGAGAGAGAGAGAGAGAGAGAGAGAGAGAGAGAGAGAGAGAGAGAGAGAGAGAGAGAGAGAGAGAGAGAGAGAGAGAGAGAGAGAGAGAGGAGCGTGTGTTATGAGCAGCTGTACATAATTGCACTCCAGATCATGTGATACAGAGGTACAGAACACGGTACAGAGAAAGCGTCCAGCTGCCCTAGTGCCGGACCTTCCATGCGCCACTCTTAAGGTAAAGGTCAATAATAAACAGCTAAGATTAGCCAATATATTAACCGAAAAATCGGTAAAGTTAAAACAACAGTCGACTTTTTAACGAGAAAATTAAAATTGCAATTCGACGGTGATAAATAAAAACTGCGATTTCCTTGCGTTCAACTTCCCAAAGAAACAAGTTTCTGGTGTTGATATACTCACAATGCCTCCAAAATTGATCAGTGCAAGCTCCTGATTGCATGCCCAGGTGTGATTAACCATTCTGTGTCATGGGACATTTTTTTAGCATCACGAAGTATCTCTTGACACGCTATTTAGCCCGTCTAATAGTCTACGGTAGCTGCATAAATGCAGATATACCAAAATGTGTTAATACAAAAAAGTGTAAAAAAAACTAATTTGCCTCAGGCTGCCTGAATGTGGTCAGTCAGAAGCTTATTACACTCTAAACACCTGCCATAACTGGGCTTTGGACACGGATGTAACATTGTGGCATTTGTCACTACTCGAGTAATTTTCAGAGGTTGACATGAAATACGTAACACTCGCATAGCGTTGGTAAAAATTGTCTCGAGACTGACATGCTTTTGGTAAACTTATCGTATTTTATTTTTTGGG